CCTGTAGATATTGGATGCAGTAGGAAACTACTTTGAATCTGGCTTGCATCTATTTTATCCAAAGGATTCCAGTTAATTTCAACTTGGTAATAAATGCAATGTTACAAGTAGTTTCTAAATGCACCATCATTATTCCAATCGTAACTTGTATGTATAAAGAAAAGATCCAAAAAGAGAAACAGTACTTTTTATCACAATGGTAGCATTTGAACTAGCCTGAATTATAATGCATAGACATGCATGCAGATAAAAATGGAAAATGTTTGCCGCTTTTAAAAAAGAAATTACAGTCCTTTCACATTTTAATTCAGGATTTGGGATTCTAAAGACAAGGTCCTTGAGACATTTAGTAGGAATCACTTGAATTAAATATTGTTCACTTTCAATATCAAAAGTAATATCACATCTGAAAGAGAATTAGATTAATCTTTGCTCCCCACTGGAAAAAGACACTGTGAATTCCGCAATTAAGTGTCATGTTTTAGCATTTTCACATAAGGGGCTAGAGGGTTTTTTTCCAGGTGAGGGAGCACAAATGTGAATCACCAGTTGAAATAAGCCTAGCAATATCTTAAACAGTGTTGAACACACTTCTTTTTATTAAGCAAGTTAAACAGATCATGTTTTCTATCCTTGTACTGATTCTAGATGTTGTGTTTAATATCGTTATAAATATGAGCAGTCAGAATTTGATACTGTCTTCTACACAAGGTAATCCAGGAGAGGGTCCTGTTCCATGTAAAATATCTGAAAGTTCTATTTTTGTTGAAGAAAATCTGGGTTGAAGGAAGATAGTTTAAATATTTTTCTAGCAGTTCCTACTAAAATTTATCTGACAATTTGGTTGCTTCTCTTTTTGATAGCATCATGGTAGCAGTTCTTGGTCATTCCATGCTCTTCCAGTGTAACATTTTTTTCTGGTTAATTGGGCCCCTTTCCTGATGATAAAATTAATCAGATTCATGACTGTTTTGTTTTTGAAAGAAAGAAAAATCTATTACTCTGTTCTCAGATAACTGACTTGTGCACTCAATCTGTTTTGGTTTCCCAATTTTGTTGTCATTTCATTGCCCTTTTGTAATCTTATGACATTATTTTGTGAGATTTGTTCTGTATTTCTGATAGAAGATAGGGGAAACAAAAAAAAGGGGGGGGGAGAGAAATAGTGCATCGAATGTCATTACATTTTCATTTTCATTCCACAGTTAGACAATAGTATTTACAAGAGGAAAACAAGAATGCCTTTTCCATATCCTTGGCTTTCTCTGCACCGCCCCACTGCTTCTTAATCAGCCATTGACATTAATGTTGATGCTGATCTGTTGAAATGAAATGTTTCTTATTGAATTACTGAAGCAAGCTGTCACTGTGTACCATGTACTGACATTAAAGCAATGAATGTAATATAATTAGGAATACTTCTAGTAGTTGCAATAGCATTAGCTGTCAAGACATTGATAAAATATAATGAAACAATAACATTTAAAATTGAAATAGTATTCAGAAAAATATAATTAATCATAATATGAAATTAAAAGTCAAAGACTTCATAAGAAGTTCCCTAGAAACTTCTTTTTTTGTCTTGTTATATAGGAAATGCCCAACAAATATCCCCATCTCTATTTCAGCTGCTCAGCTATTGTTTTCTTTATCCTTCATTTCCACTTCATACAGATATGTCTATGTGTATATTGTCCATTAGCTGGTTTGCTTTTATTTTTGAGCTAGCTACTCACTCACCAAATATCTGTCTCACCTTTCCTCTTTAATCATATTTATTTGCATTCTGATCGTGCCATGCTCAAATCTAGCCCATCATTTTTTAAACAATAGCTAGACTCATTTCTGCTGTTTTCCCTTAGAGTGTGGCTAGGCTACATTTGCCAGACTTTGCCCATGGATGATAGTGCCCAGCAGAATCAGAGTACATTGACTTTGGTCCATTCCGCTTTGGTTATATTTCACTTGGAACACAGTGTCCAGTTCTGGAAACCACAATTCAAGAAGGATATTGACAAGCTAGAACATATCCAGAGAATTGTGTCCAAAATGATAGAAAGTCTAGATGCCAAGCTCTCTGAGACATGCCTTGGGGTGCTGGATATGTTTAGCTTGGAGAAAAGAAGGTTAAGAGGGGACATGATAGCCATGTTTAAATATCTTCAAGGATGCTATATTGAGGTGGGAGCAAACTTGTTTTCTGCTGCTCTGGAGACAAGGTGCACCTATACTGATCTTTTTTTGGTGGTTGATGCACCATGCAGGACAGCAGATAAGCCCTGCAAAGTGTCTCCACATAATCCTCCCCAGTTTCTTGAGAGGTGAGATTGAGTCTCCACTGCCCAGCAGCACCAAACATGGTTTGGCCCTGCTGAGAGGCCACCCTAACCCAATTGCATGGTAAGCAAATACTCCTTCAAAATGTCACATACATGTTATTTTTAAAATTCACTTTAACATGGTATGGGATCTAAACCAGTCAAATCCATTAAGAGGTGGAAGATAAAAAAGCAAACAGCACACCACTAAAAGCCAATGAAAGTCAGTTCCCTGAAGATCAACATTATCACCTGTTGAAGGAGGGGCAGCAAAGAGGGAGAGAAACTTATATTCCCAGGAAAGGAGTTCCAAATTCTGGAAGTAGTCCCTGAGAAGGCCCTATACCTTATTCCCAACATGCATGCTTGGTGAAACAGGGTGCTTCCAGATGGCGCCAAAATCTGTGTTTTAAATTTGGAGGTAAAAAATCTTGGGACATGAGAGCAGGTCCTCACACAGACCTGTTAGGCCTGGGATTGGGTCCCCCATCATCTCCAGAGTTCTCCTTTGTATTGGAGCAGGATAGAGGGCAGATGAGGAACATCAGGTGGAAGTTTTGTAAAAAAAATCACTTAATTATGTGCTGAACTGTATATGCGCACATGCAAATATCTTAATATAAATATAAACAGAGTCGCATGTGCGCATATGAAGTCCAGTGCATAGAGAGAGTTATAATTGGAGAGTTATAATTGCTTTCCATTTGTGCTTCCTTCGAACCACCTGTGTGTTCATTTGACAACCTGATCAACTGTCTCAGGCTTTTTAAAAGCTCAAGTGTGATGGAGAAGTCTAAAGTGGGGAGGAGGGGAGGGGGAGAAAGGAAAGCACATGTTTTGCATGACTGCAAGGATATACAGTGATATGAATGTGCACATTTTTCAGCCAAAATAAGGATACAATGGACCTTTTTATCACGTTTTATGTTCATTGTTGCAGATTAGTGCGGATTTACTGGTATTGTCATTTAGTCACCCATCTGTTAACCCAGTTACTTTCGTATTTTAGAGTCTGTGTAGAAGGGTCATGAGAGAAGGTTCTCCCCCAAAGATCTTAGAGTCCAGACAGTATCTTATAAGATGTTTTTGATAGCCTTGACTTCACTTCTTGCAAAGACTTATGGGAATGGCAGCCCTTGTCATACTCCATATCCTCTATCCTAGCCAGTTTCACCGTCCATAGCCTGCTGTGCCATGGTTTAGAAAAGAGGAATTCTTTGATCTTTGCATGATGCTCTTCACCACAGTCCCTATCCCCTGTAATTGTTATACCTCATTCATTTATATGTTGCAACTTTTATGTCTCAAAATAATTAAAAACTTGGCAGATGGAAGAAAACATGATTTAGGAAGCTAGGGTGCCAGCAGAGCTGAGTGCTGCATATTGTTTGCCAACTAATTAATGCCAGATATAGATATTGAATTCAAAAATATCAAGTCTTAAAGGGAGTCATTCAATAATTATTGATTTCAGTGGGGAGGCAACCATGTTTGAACAAAAGAGTATGGAAAATTGGAATTAAGGGATGTGAAATGTGTCCAGTGAGATCTATAAAGTCTTGGTTTGAAAGATAAAATAGACTACTGTTGTTAGAAATATTTGGAGAAATGTATTTATCATGACAGAAGCAAGTTGAGGGCACAGTTAAAATGCATTTAAAAACACAAAGTTAAAAAAACCTTAGCATTATACTAAATCTCCTTTGACCAGAAGCTGGTCACTTGGAGTGCCTCTCTTGTCACTGTGAGAAGGTCCTCCATTGTGCATGTGGCAGGGTTCAGGTTGCATTGTAGTAGATGGTCTGTGCTTTGCTCTACTAGAAATAAAGATTATGAAACTCATTCACACAAATTTTGCAAAATGTTCAGATAATGTGGTTTTCTGATTCTTAAAGGAATCTGTCATTTGGAAGTTATCTAAGCTTTTCATCTTGCTTTGCAATTTCTTGCTTTTTTCAAGCCCACATTCATCTGTATGTAAATCCTCTATTTCACTATAATTTTATAGTTTGTAAAAAACAAAAAGTGATAATCATTTAAAAATCAAAAAAATAGGTATTGTGACCCAATGATGAGGTGCAACAAGTTAAAAGATTAGGGTTTTTAATTGTAAATAAAATTCATATTAAAAAGTTCAGCTGTGATATATTGATTTGAAGCTTTATGTGGTACACAGACATGCTACTATCTTATTGCTGTTGCCCTGGTGTCTCATCATTAATGTTATTAGGGCCAAGATTTCACATTGAGCATTTTTTTTCTGTGTTCAAAATTTTATTTTCATTGTATACAAGTGACAAGCAAATGCAAAAATTACATTAACTAGCAAAACAGGTACATCTGACAAATCCTTTCCCTCCATCCTCTCACCCATGAATCCACCACCTATGACTCACTGTGAATCTTATATCTAATAAAATCTAGCCTTATAACTTCTTTAGTAAATTTAGCATTGTTGACTGATTCAAGGAGTTTTCAGTGTGATAAATATTTGTAGGTCTGTTTGCTACATTGGGTGTGGTAGCTTCAGTTTCTAATGTGGTTGAAGTAGGTGAATAAATGCTTCATAGTGTTCATAATATGGAATATTTAGGAATATTCTAGAATATGTCATCTAAAATATAACGTTTTTGCATTTCACTTGTTCATCTCCTAATTGTATTTTAATTCCTCTTTTAACAGAAATTTTAAGATACCATCAGTGCCAGGAATCATATATCAGCACCATCTTGCAATTAAGGCTGATTTTCTCTCTCTCTGAATATTTGATTTGTTGAGAATCTAAATTGGAAGATTGCTTGGAGGTATTTTTATGACCAACATTTCATAAGGACAGTTTGGTATGTAAAAGTCCAGTACGACATCATGATTAACCAGGAGAAATGGGCTAACCTCAGTCCTTCAGAATTTTCCCAGCTTCAGAAGTATGCAGAATGTAAGTACTTGCTTTTGAAATGTTTATATTTCTTTAGGTTTCATATAATTGTATTAAGCTTAGTTTATTTATTTATTTACTATATTTATATAATGTCCCTCTCAGCCCGCAGGTGACTCGGGGTGGTGCATAGAAAACTTCAATAGATATTAATCTCCAGATGGTACTTGCTTTTGTAATAAAGTTTGTAAATTATAGGATTTTTAAAATAATTGTTCAGTTATTTTTTATGTTTCAATATTAGAATGCCAAAAACAAAAACCTATTTAACACTTTAATGCCTCCCAAAATAGATATCAAATAATCCAAAACTACAAAAAATGCAACCATAATCATATTGCTTTGAATTACTGGCTTTTTGCTATTTACTTCTTGTTTTGTGGCAAGTGGCCCCAATATAATGGGCTGACCCTCCTAGAGTTTTAAGAGAATTAAATAAAATCTTTATATGCTTGTGTGCATTGAGCAAGTTTGAGTTTTCAATTTTAAAAAATCTAGCAAGTAAGAATGGTTATGGACCAAATTATTGCTTATTGTGAAGGATACAATGCAATTCTGAGTATACATTGTTTGATGTGAACATCATCTTTGGAGGATTTTTGTTCTTTTTTCTGGCTTTTTGTGTGTTGATAGTACTGGAGAGCAGGGATTTCTTAAACTGGGTCATTTACAACTCTATAGTAGAGTTCAGTTATAACTGAGTTCTGGCACCACTTGTCGCATTTTAGAAAATTTCATAGAAACATTTCATGAAAACATGCAAAAGAATATAATAGTGAAAGGGGGCAGAGGCCAAAATTTCACATATCATAGACATAATTTGAGCATTCTAGAATTCTTGCTTTTAAAAGAGAATATAGATATATTAGACAAAATAGATATTTGCTGGGATAGAAAGAACCAGGAGATTCTGTAGCTTCTTCATCCATAGATTCCACCATCCATGGCCTTAAAATATACTTCTTCTCCCAAAAATTATAGAAACAAACCATCAAACCCTGGTTTTGCTATTTTATATAAAATTTGACTATGCCATTGTATGTAACAGGACCTGAGCATCCACAGATTTAGGTATCAATGGAGCAAGGGAAGGCAGTCCTGAAACTTCAGTGGAAATTGAGGGCCCACTGTACTCATCTCTGGCTTCAACAACTATAGGAATGACTTATTATTTACTATGTCAAAAGTATGCCATTCTTCAGCAGGAAAATAAATAATGGCAAATATTATTTCCATCCTTAAACAAAAATTGAATTTATTATACAAATCATAGTATCAGAAGTGTGACAACAATCCATTATGACATGTTGTACAATCCAACACTTGCATGTAAAAGAATATGAACCTATTTAGTACGGATTGCACAGGAACACACTGGAGAGTTGTTTCCCTGTTCCCTGTTGCTAAATTGGTATGTTACTTCCTTTTCCTGTCAAGTAATGTTATAGCTGGAAGTAGCAGCAATTCCTGTGCAGAAAAAAGGTGAAAAAATGAGCCATAGTAAAATAATTGAAATACCATAGATATGCAATAATTATAGTGTTATGGAACTATTCGTGTTGGCTTTTCTTTCTTTCAAGTCACATTTGTATTTCCAAATTGTGGGTCATCTAAGCTGAAATTGGCTATGCATGATATTTTTGTTCCCAACATATGGTGAACTTTGAGCTTAGTTTTGAGATTTCGTTACAGTCATGTTATGTAAACTTGAAAGAAATTGCTAGGAAATCTAGTGCACAGATGACTGGTTCATTCTAAGCATATGAAGAAACTTTGAAGCTATTTTTCTTCATTATCATATGAAATATGTGACCTTATTTTCATCTTTCTAGAAGTGTATTAATGCCTGACTTGGAAATGACTAAAGAGAGACATAGCTGGTACTGTTTGATTCTCGCAAAAGGACTGTACTGTACTTGTTTTTGAATATTTCAAACGATATATCCCATTCACATTATTTGTTTCAGCCCACATTTTATCAAGGTAAGAAGTTTCCTCAGAATAGGGATATAATTATTTGCTATTTTTGTTCTTGAAGAAAGAAAGTTTCAGAAATCCCTGTTTTCAAAGACTATTCATAGTTCAGGACTTAATGCATAAAAACTAAATGTGTTTTTATGAGACAGAAAATAATATATCTTGTGTAGAAAATTATTCCCCCTGCATAGAAACAAACAAATTATGTGGTGAGTTGTTACATTCTGTTTTTTAAAAATGAACACTGCACAGAAAATGAGAATTGGAGGCCAGGAAGAAAGGGAGAGCCACAAATTTTCTTTTTGTGTAAACCAAAGTACTATATTTGCTCTAGCATAATGCACCATCAATTATAATGCACACCTCAGTTTTGAAGGGGTGCATTGGAAAAAAAAGAGTTGTTGTCAAATTTAATGTGTGGCTTCTCTTTGCCTGTCAGCTCTTCTGCTATCAGCTTCAGAATGATCCGATGGGCAAGGGGAAGCCATGCTCCTCCCTCAAACTGAGGCCGGTGAAGTTCCCAACTGAGGGGAAGATTTTGAAAGCCTCATTTCATTCTTGCAAATGTTTATCTGGCAGGATCAGTGGGCCTGTGTGTGTCTCTGGGCACTTCTACACTAACTATATACTATAATAAAGGTTGAAGTCAACTCGCGGTTGTGGTTGCCACAAGATGCGCACTGCCAATGTGTGCTACAATGCTCATAAAGGGCAATAGAGCACTTTACAAAAGGTCCCTAGAAAGTCTGAGTTCAGGCAAAAATTGTGCTGTAGCTGATCCATGTGTATCTCAGATTCGGAGCAAAATTGGCTCTGCAAATGTGAACATTGTAGAAACCCACCCCTGCTGAAGCATAGTGAAGAGTCTCAAACAGGGCTGCTGAAAAATGCCCCAAGGGCATGGCTGGACTGCAGGGGACTAATAGACATCCTGGAAGAGAATTTATTCTATTTCTACCTGTCACCATTTAGAAAACAGGTTCTGTGTAGATCTCCTAAAAATTGTATAATGTCACTCTAAAAACGTAAAGCAATTGCTTGCTTGAGCCCCAAATCATTTTCCTAGTTGGTGAGATACTTTCTTTTATTATTGAAAAAAATACAGTACTTTTTGCTTCCAGTTTAGCTTGCATAATGTTCTCAGAAGTAGTTTGTATGGTGCTATATATTGGGCATTTCTGAAATAAATTGCAGTTTTGAGGTAATTGGAATTGCGTTTTAAAAGGTGACATTTTAGCAAGTCCTTTTTGAACTTGTAAAAACAGCAACACATTTTAAGGTGATTTGAGGGCATAGTGCAGTCTTCCTTGGCATATCTAAAGCCAGCTTGCTTCATTTTAGCACTTACAGCTGAATTTGAAATGAATTCTTTGCTACTCTTTTTTTCTTCCATGATGAGTGAGAAAGGGAAAAAGAGGGATGGAATGGGACTGCAAATGGATCGTTAATGATAGATTTATGATTTATTGCTGAGCATGTCTTGAGAAAGGCACTGCACTATATTGTGCACATAATATATGACTTTTAAAATCCATTTGTAATACACTAGAAGGGAAGTGCCATCAGATTTATAATATGGGGCATGATACAGCTCCCAATAGAACAACAGTTTGAAGAGTCTTTAGTCCCACACTTTTCATGTATATAGAGGTTAATTTTTACTTTGCATTGTGTTACTAATTCCTCTCTAGGAGACTTGTAGAGCCTGGTAACATCCACTAAGAAAGCCCTTTCCCATGTTCCCACAAAATTTATCCATGAGACTGGTAGAATGGCCTCCCCTGGAGATCTCAAAACAAATAGCCTTGAATGGGAGAATATGGTCCTTCAGAAAGCCAAGCCCGTAGCTTTATAAACCTTTATAGGATATTATCAATCCAAAATGGCCCAACAAACAGTATTGTTGTAAGGAGGGAATTTTGTGCACCTTATCACCAGATGTTTTGACCTTCAGCGCAGAGAAATCCTAATAATTGGTAAACTGTCTAGGATTTCTAGGATTTGTAGACCAAAACACCTGGGGACTCACAGGTTGAGAACCACTGCTATAATCTGTCATCAGCATCATCAGCATCATGATAGTCACTCTTGTAGCATAGGATCATATGGGTAAAGAAAAATGATGCATATATGGTCAGTAGGCTTGTTTGATTTTAAAAAAAGGTTGAAAACTCATTTCGGCTGTAGGGGGCGCTGGTGGTTCAATTCTAAAGTCACTTCCTTTAAAAATATTTTTTTCCAAAACTTTCCAAAACTTCCGAAACAGCTTCGTTAATGGCAGATACACATGTGCAGTAGGGAAAAACAGCACTGGCACTGGGAAAACTTCAAGGCTCTTCCACTCAGGCCACTCCTGACCGAGGGGCTCTTCCACTCCAGGCCTGCCTCGGCTGTCAGTGCTGAGGAGGAGGAGGAGGAGGAGGCAGCGACGCCCCCTCAGGTGCCACTTGGCTCCCACTGCTGGGCTTCAGCCAGGCAGCGGGCTTCAGGCTGTTAGGAATAATGGGAGTGGAAATCCAAAACACCTGGAGGGGCCAAAGTTTGCCCAGGCCTGGATTAGATGCAGCCATGCCACAGTTCAATGTTATGGGATCCTGGGGTTTGTAGTATGGCACTCTTTGGCAAAGGAGGCTAAAAAAACCATGCAAAACTACAGCTCCCAGGATTGTGCAGCATTGAGGCAAAGCAGCCGGAAGTGGTTCTTCAATAAGATCTGCCTGATCCACCTGGAGGGAGGGAGGCAGAGGAGGGAATGAAGAAAGAAAGAAAGAAAGAAAGAAAGAAAGAAGGAAGGAAGGAAAGGAGGGAAGGAGAGGAAGCCCAATCAACCTTTAGTGCCACTGATCTATAACCTGCCTGGCTAAACTCCCAGTTGCCAAACCTTGAGATTGAAGTGAGAAGGGGGGGGGGGAGTGAGGAAAACTCGGTTTGAATGCAAACTCCAGAGCTCCAGCTGGTAATGCAGAAAAGGAGGAGGAGGAGCCTGCTGCTCAGCCATTTTGGTGAATGCGCAGCAAGGCAGG